GTGAGGACTGGGAAAACATTTTCTTGGCACCTAGTTGGACTTGAAAGTGACTTTTCTGAGAGAGACACAGAAAATGGTGGTTAGAGTTAAAAATAAGTCAGGTTAGTAGTCAGCAAGCTGAGGGCCAGTATGAGACCCTCACTAACCATTTAAAACATTTTCTGTAGGAAGCAGATTTTTGAGCAGCTGAAAACCAATGAACATTAGCTGCACCCATTTATACACTGGAGCCAGCCTTTGGTGAGCGGAGCAAATGGGCTAAAGGGAGAAAGCCCACTTCCGCAGATTGTTTGTCCTAGATCCTTGTTAAGGGATAGGATGGATTCCACATATTCAATGCCTTCTTCTTTAAACCGTTGATTTGAAGTGCTTCAGAAAATAAAAAGAACCGGTACGCATGCTGCAGGATTGAGTAGTAATTTATTGTGATTGTCTTTGTTCACGTTTGAAAACGAAGGCATTGATATTAAGACTAAAGAGAAATTACATAGAGCTGGTGTGATTCAAAAAAGTTTGGCTCTTTCGAGTGATTTTTTTGTTTTTAATGCCTTAGAGTTAAGCTTTAAAAGCACGCTTCATTGAATCCCATGCAAGCCTCCTGGGACAGGGCTGAGGGACCTTTTTTCTATTGAGGGCCACTGACCCACAAAGAAAAAAAAACCTAATCAAGGGCCATGTACAAAAAGCAACTTAATTTAGGTGCTTCCTTAGAAGACCATAAAGCATTCCGTTCACCTGCTTTTTAAGTTAAGAACAAGGAGCTCTCAACAAGTACAACAAATTTTTAAAAAGCCCTTCAGTGTCATATTATGCACAGTTAAAGAGGTGGGGTGGGGTGAGAAAGAACATTGTGAGTAGAGAGAGAGTGAAAAGGAGAGCTTGAAGGGCCTTGAAGAGATGTGTGGAGTTGAAACGTTGTATATCCGGATCGTGGAAGTAGGAGACTGAGTTAGGCAAATAGGACAGACAGATGACAGTTGTAGATCCTAACCTACTGTTTACTGAGCTGCATCATTCAAGGGAGAAGCTGTTCCCAGCTCTTCTGTGGCTCCTATCTAGAAGTCTGTCCAGCAGTAATTCTTAATAAAGAGTGTGTGTCAGACTCACTCAGGGACCTTTTCAGAAAGGCTACCTGCCCTGTGCTATGTCAGAGTAGCGATCTACCTGTCGCATATCCATTCAGCTGTCCCTGTGTTCAGGTCTCTCGGCCTAAAGGAAAAATGGTGGCATCTTTCTTAAATGAGAAGTATATATGCTCGCCAGGCATAGAAAGGCTGTCTCTAGAAAGAAAAGCCGTTATTCATCCAGACAGCACTTTAGAAGCAATCCCAACCACATAACACAGAATGCCTTTCTAATAATATGTGTGCCATGCTTTCAGAATAAGCCCTTTTTGGTGCTTCAAGTAGAAATGCTCAAACTTTGTAATTAAAAGCTTATCTTTGCAGTGTGGGGGATAGAACCCAGGGCCTCATGCATGCCAGGCAAGTGCACTGTCCAGCCCTGAAATACTCGTTTTTTAACATAAATTTTAGTTTCCTATGTTCTCAGAGATTCTTAGAGAACATAGAGTTATGATTTCTTTTTTTTTTTTTTTCCTGTACCAGGAATCAAACTCATGACCTTGAGCTTGCCAGGCAGGTGCTGTGCCGCTGAGCTAGATCCCCAGCCCCGCTATGATTTCATTTTAAATGCACCGAGACTCTTCCTCCTTGTACTTCTCGTCACCCCTAACTAGTTATGGCGCTCAACTCCCAGTCGCCTGAGTATATCTGGGGCTTTAATTCCAAAGTATTGTGGACTGCAGGTGGCTCAGGGCTTGTGGCAAAAATGTCAAATTACATTTCCAAGGAATCGTTTTTATAAATGCAGACAGAGTAAATGGGACATTCAAGGCTATGTGGCACAGAGTAGAATGGCAGGGTGAGAGCTTTTCCCTGAGAGGAAGATGCCTTTGCCAGCAGAAACATTAGCCAAGGATCTACCCTTTAGCCTCTCCCCGCTAAACTGAGTCTTCCTGGAAAGATTTTTGCTCTAAGATGAAAGTACACTGTTTTCTTTTTTGTTAGGTATTGCCAAAACAAAGACATAGTCCAGTGTTCAGGTACAAGCAAGTCCTCATACAGTCCTGCTGAGGGCCTTGGTGGATTTGAGACGGGTGGAGTGCACAGGCCACGTGGGCCTTTTATGAGTGCCAGTGTAAACGGTGCTGTCTACTTTCAGCAGGTTACCAGTAAGACTTTTATTGCCGTTACTCGTTTTTGAAGGGTGTGTCCTTAGTGTAAAATTCCTGTGGGTAAGTTTAAACCTCTCAAGATCTAGCACCTTCTTTAGTGGAGAAAACAATTCTTTATTGCTGCTTCTCAATACTTTTCTGTTTCAGGGTGTGTTTGCTTCCATACACATTGAGGATGAGGAAAAGGGTCTTTTTCCTTGAATTTAGAAGCCTACTTTGAGCCAGGCATGGAGGTGCACGCCTGTAATCCTAGCAGTTGGGAGGCTGAGACAGGAGAATTGTCAGTTCAAGGCCAGCCTTGGCTACATAGCAAAACCTTGTCTCAAAAAAAAACCCAGCCTATTTTGATAGTGACCCTTTATTATATGTGCAAACCTTGTTGAGATTAGGTGAATGCAGATGATTGTCCAAACTCATGAATTATTTTGCTTTGGAAATTCAGTGCCTGTCACAATGGAGTCTTTGTAGAAGCTTAAGAAACAACCTGTCCTTTGATAAATTTAGCCTGTCACAATCTTAAAAAAGTTTCTGCTCCCTTATTGTAAGTAATTCCCTTCAGTTGCCCTGTATATGTTAAGTTCTTATTCTGAGTATTCCAGTTAACTTTCTATGTGGCATATATGAGTGTGATGTGTATTATTTAATATAGGTACGGCACTGTACACTTGGAGTCCTTCGCACTGATTCATGTGTTACCACATTTACAGCGGGTTGTAGTTTGTATATCTTGCTGCCAGGTGGCTGTAAACCACTGAAGGTACATGCATGACTGTGCCATTGGGTGGCATGGGGCAGTCCTGCATGTATCACCGGTGGTTCAAGCTGGCAGGAACATGTTAAGTCTGTAATGGGGGAAACCCTCAACTCTGAACTTGGGAAACAACAGAGTACCTCCCTGTTAATTATGTGTCCTGGTACTAAAAGCTTGCTGTGAATTTCAGCCAGTAAGAAGGGGTTTTGTTTTTGGTTGTAACAAAGGTGTTTCCATAAAACAGAGCCTTAGCAGCACTTCTTTCACTAATGAGATTTGAGATATTCTGTACCCTGGCAGCTCTAAACTCTGTGAAATGATCCTTTTTTAAAATCTTTTTTTGGAGGTTTATAGTACAATTATCTTTTGACCAGGATTTTAAAAAATGTCAAAAAGAAAGCAGTTTTGGGATGGAGAAGTTAATTGAGGATTGTCCTTGAATAGTGCATGTCCCTTCTTTCTAGCAATAACACTCTCCCTACTTTTTAATTACCAAGAAGGAGGAATAATTGGGAACATACATGATTATGCAATTACTTACATATGTTTGGTTGACTCTAGTTGTAGTTAAGTTACCAAGTCAATTTGATGTGAAATATTCTGCCCCAGAGCTCCTTTGGTGTCTGTGTTAGGCCATCAGCACAGAAAGCCAATTCACAGCTATGTGCAGCTCGTGGTCCACCTTGTTTCCCATCGTGAGTGTTCCTAGGAAGACTTGCTTTTCATCCTCTAGCCCTTTGTTTATTGAACACTTTTATCATTGGCAGGTCCACATGTATCCCATATACTCATTCTTGGGATTTTGTTTTTGATTCAGAGTCACACTATGTTCCCCAAGTGTTTGCCCAGACTTCTTGGAATCAAGCAGCTTTTCTTGCCTTGCCTTCTGGGTAGCTGGGGCCACAGGTACCCACCACCATACATTCAGTTTACATCCCCCAAATCTTGATTCTTTTCTGACCCCTTTTGCCTTGCGTTGAGCATGGATAGCAATGGCAGAAAGAATAATGAAAGTTAATCTTTGTAAACATATGTACAGAATGATAGCATACCAATTGATTTTGAAGTGGCTAGAGGCATAGTACCTGATAGGGTTCATTTCTGAGCAACACTACATTTCTTGGTGATTGTGAGGAGAGAGACATTATCTCTTCAAAGCACAATTTTTATTCTCTGACAGAGGAATAAAGAACACCTCCAAACCCTTGCCCTGGAGGAATGTAGTCAATATAAGGGAGGAAGTATTTCATGGGTTGGGCTACCCAGAAGGGGGAGTGTCTTTGACATTTCCCTTTACTCTTAGGGCCACACCACTATATGAAGATTACATTTATTAGAAGCCATTAGACTCTATTGAGATGAGAGGCTGTACTGCACAGAATCACAAGGTAGATATAGTCTGTGACATTTACACAGGAGATGCTGCACAGAAAATCTTAAAATTGAGGATTGTCTCCTGTCACCTCTTCGTGATTTATCATAGGCTCAGATTATGCAGTATGAGCTCTTCTGGTTTTCTCTGTGCTGACAACCCCGAGTTTGCCTCATGTATTTGCTCACCCTTTTTTATTGTTATCACGTATTTTATAAATCATTCTTCTTTAAGGATATTTAGTCTCGTGGAGCATACACTTCCAAGTTCAGGGGGAAAAAACGTCTTGTGTGTGTGACTTATCAGTGTTTACCCTAAAATCTCAGACAATTTATAAAAGAGACTTTCGTTGATGCTGAATACTACTCTTTATTGGCCACACTGACGTTTTTCTCTAGAGTTTAGCTGTCTGCATGATGGGAAGGTTTTTTTTCCTTTGGAGCAGGCTTTTATTATTTTCATAAGAAGGGAATAAATGGTTTTAGGCATCATGAGACTTTTTCAATGTACCTAATTCCTGGGCCTGTGCAGAGTCCTCATGGTGTGGAAAGAAACAGAATGTGTATGCCTAACTGAAACCCTTCCCTCTTGCGCTTGATGGATGATGATAGAGATTGACTGTCCTACTTTTTATCTTCCAGGTGATCATTTGAAGATCTGTCCCCAGGGTTATACCTGCTGCTCTGAAGAGATGGAGGAGAAGTACAGCCTGCAAAGTAAAGATGATTTCAAAAGTGTGGTCACTGAACAGTGCAATCATTTGCAAGCCGTCTTCGCTTCCCGTTACAAGAAGTTTGATGGTATGTTATTCAAGTCACATCTAAGAGCTGACAGTTGAATTTATATGATTGCTTTTTCAGAGCTTCTCTGTTCCCCTAGCCTTTAAGCTTTCTCCCAAGATACTCTTTTTGTTGGCTACCAGTGGTAAGTTAGCCCTGCAGATTTACTGCTAGAGTCGTTTTAGATGTTCTGGAATTTGTAATAGTAGGCATTACGGTCTTAAGGAGACAAAAAATAGATTGGTTTAATTTAAATACTTTCATTTATTTTCTTGGGTGAATACGATGTAGCGTTGTTGACGAAGGTGACTATTGGAAAAAAAAAAGGACATTAATAAAGAGCAGGTATCTGAAAATTGTCTTAGTCAAAATAGCCACAATGATTCTGCAGATGCTAGACTTGAAATTAAATTTAAAAATGGATCCCCAAATAAAAGTAAAATTCCTAGAAGCTCTGCAGAACACAGAATGCATTAAAGCTCAGCTCCTGGGTGTCGAAGTGATAGCAACCCAGAAATGGCTACTGTACTGTAATCTTTATTAATTTGGGCTCTCTCCCCAGCCTTGCTCTTAGCTGAGGTCTGGTGTGGTCTTCTTGTGGAAAGCCACAGCAGAACACATTGTAATCTGTGCTGGCCATGGCTTCTCACGTGCACACTTTCCTTTAGTAGTGAAGAAATAGCCAATATGCGCCAAATGAGAGGCACTTCAATCCTATTTGAAGCAGCATTACAGATAGCAGACTTTTAAAAATAGCATACGAGGTCCAAAACACCTTGGGATTCTTTTCTCTGGTGCTGTTCACTCAGTATGAAGACTGTTGTGAAGTAGATTTAATTTTAATAGGAATGATTTCCTTTTGTGCCTGTTTTAAAGGCCGTTCTAATTACATAGTACCTTTGAAGCATGCTTTTCTTGACATTATGTGTGGTGAAGAAGTACAAGGCAAATTTTCTAGATGTGAAATGTCTTTGAGTATTTCTGCAAAGGGCTCGTTACCATGGTGAGAAGTTAGACTAAATTAGATTTGATATAGCTGATAAGACAGTCCCCAGCTATAGAACAGGTTGTATTTCAAATGTTGGCTTTGAGATTTGGTATTTGAAACTTACAGCTGACTTAATAAGTGTTACTTAGGTTTCCACGCTAGACCATGACAGTGTATTTAATTCATAATGTAGTTGAACTAAAATACTCTCTATACATCTTGGTGTATATATCATTGACCATTTCCACTGTTTCAAACACTTTTTGTGCAAAAATATGTTTGGCATTATTTCTCTTTCCCTGGGTTCATGAGATTACACTTATATAAATGTGTATTGGTCAGTTTTCCCATCACTGGGACAAATTACCTGACACCCATAACTTAAAGGAGGAAATGGTTATTTGGTTCAAGTTGTAGAAATTTCAGTCTGTACTTGACTGTTTTCATTGCTGTAGGTCTGAGGTGAGACAGAACATCAAAGCAAAAACGGATGGTAGAGCAAAGCTGATTGCTTCCTGGTGGCTGGCAAGCAGAATACAGGGAAGTGTGCCAGAGAGGAAAGGGGCCAGGGACCACCAGATAGATGTGGTACCCAAGTCTTGCCACCCTGACCCACCCAAGAAGTGCACTTTACTACTCTCATACATGGCTCTCGAGCCAATTAAGTTGACAGTCCAGCTTGACTGTGACGGTCTGTATATATAGCCTTCCTACTAATTGAAACTCTGTACATATATACTGCATCTGTAGAGAGTATTTAACAATATGTCAATACTATATGTAAATGGCTTTTATTGGCAAAATACATTGTTAGATCACCTCTGTCTCTCTTGACCACTAAGTTATTATTATTGCTATTTAAAAGAAAGATACTCTCTTGATTATGACATTTCTCTTTCAAGATAATAACTTTATTTTGGTTTTGATAAAAACTTAATTAGATAGTCATCTTAGAAAACATTTAGATGCTGGTATTTAAGAATTGTTACATGGGGGCTTCATGATGAAATTCAGAAGGGAACAGCAGTCGCGCTCTTTAAAAATGGCTTCCTTTTAACAGCATGATATAATGGAGATGAAGCTGTTTCCAGGGACTAAGGGCACCTTCTCCAGGTCACTCCATTTTTTGTTAGATGCAACTCTTCCTGGAGTGGGGCCCGCAGTCAGTCATTGCCTATGGGCCTGCTGACTTAGGTGTTTGCTCCCCATGGTTTTATTGCACTATTCCTAGGATTCCACTGTTTTTAGAAAACCTTACAGAGGCACTTTATCAATAAGTGTTAACATGTTTGTTAGAAAGGACAGAAAATTAGTTTCTCTTGTCCCTTCCTTACCACACATCACATTCAATAAATATATTAAATTTGTGCCTTTCTTAGTTTCAATCTTATCATGAAAAATGATTATGAAACTCCAGTTTGTTTCTTCCATCTTCAAATAAAAGTAATGGCACAGACAAAGTTAATAAACATTGATCAATTTTCTTTAACAGGTAGTAACTGAAATATGTCCCATCTGGAGATCAGAACAGGGCAGAAATGCTTTGTATGCTTTTTCTAAGTTTTTTTTTTTTTTTTTCTTTGTTGTTGTGACCCTGGAGATTAAGCCCAAGGGCTCTATACCACCAAGCTATGTTCCCAGCCCGTTTTGATTTTTTTCTTTTGAGACAAGGTCTTGCTATGTTGCCCAGGTTGGTTTTAAACATGTGATTTTCCTGCCTCAGCCTCTCAAATAGCTGGGTTTATAGGTGTATGCCATCACACTCACTTCTAATTTAGGTTTTCTGAGATGATGAAATTATATTAGTAAATGGTAAAACCTCAGTTGACTGGCCCCCTGCCAACCATAATCCTCTCATGGGTGCTACATTGATTCGCTGATTTTTTTTTCTTTTTTTGCTGATTGATTTTTAAAGATTACCGTTAAGACCTGCAACAATTTCTCAAGGCCTAAAGATCCAAAGATGTTGAATAAAGTGCTTTAGGGGTATCTTGTTTCTCAGAAATCCAGGGGTGGATGCTTTAGTTGAAGAATTGTGTAAACTATTATGGAAAGCAAATCCTGGATCTTTGATGTGAATGGAAGAGAGGAAGTTGGGTTGAGTATTAAGAGGGTGACTAGGGAATCAAGACCGAACAGCAAAGTTACACAAAAACAGCTGGGGAAATGTAATAAGGAAATAGTGGAAGGAGACCTGGAAACACTGGGTCAAGCTACTTGATAGGCACTTCTATAGCCATCTTCAACCTTAATTCAAACTTAGGACACAGACTCCATGTACCTTTGTGTATCATCAAAAGTAATCTATGGTATGAGGTACCACTTCTTTGTAGGACAGGAGCAATCACTTTTATAAACCTCTCAATAAAAGTTTAGGAGCTTGTAGGGAGTCAGCTTTCTGTTGCCAGGTATCAACTCTTTCTCTTAGTTCTCCGTCATTCCTTCTTGATTGACAGCATGTCAGGCTTCTAGTGCTAGCTCTGACAATTTTGGGGTCATTACATTTAAGAAATGAATCTCTTTTCTAATTCTTTTATCTCTAGGTCCTTTTTTGGTTCTGTACTTTTCATTTTCTATTCTTTTCACATCTCTAGACTATAAAGTCTATAATTCAGCTTCTAAATTATAAACCAATGTGTCTGTAGTATATGTTCAGACCTGGGTGAAGTATAAAGAGGACATTTCCTTTGACAGAATCCCCCCTACCTTCATCAAAATCCTCAGGTTTTTCTGTGTGTTTAAATGTGTTTAAAGACGCCCTTCTCTGTTTTTCTACATTGTAATATTTTTTACCCGACTGTTTAATTTAGCACTTTCCCAGGTTGAAGACTTAGAGCCAGAGCTTGATAGTGACAGAGCTAGCTGCTCCCCCTCTTGGCCAGTTCTGGGAATGTTTTTGATAGTAGAAGTGTTAATTAACATAGCTGAATTAGTTGGCTCATGAATATGCTAATCAGATACACTGCTCTGGAGGGCTGGAGAAGAATTGGCTTGTCACAGGGAATGGAAATAGTAGAAGTAGGGAATAATCCATGTTTTGGGAACACAGCGTAAAGACCCACCCCCAAATGTCTGGCATTTTGTGAGACCAATTGTTTTTAAAAGAAGCACAGCTAAATGAAAAACCCAAATAGGCAGAGATGATTAGAGCTACTATGTTAAATATGTCTCTGAATTACAGAGTGAAAATAATGTAGCAGCTATGAAGAAATATCGCTAAACTCCCCGAATCGGATGATTTGCTAGATATTTTGCATGTTAAAAGAAATGTTAAGGAAATAGAGATACTGTCTGATGCTGATCATTGGGAAACTCTTTTTATTTGTTGTTTGGGGAATAAATTTAGTAACTTTGGATGGGAGGCAGAGCACAGTGAATTGTCAGCCTGCTTCTACAGTGACTCCTCCGTGACCTGGGCCACTTAACTGGGTCTCAGTTTTCCCGTCTATAAAATGAAGGGGTTGAATTAGATGCTCTCTAAAAACCCTTTCAATTCTAAAAATTCTGTAAATCTTTTAAACATGTGACTAGACCAGCTGCTTTAGTGAAAGGTCTTACAAGATGTTAATTAGCCATCTGTATGGTACCCTCTATTTTCCCCCTATCATTTCTTAACCCTCAGCTACTTTTACCAGGTCTTTGAAAACCCGCCCATGAGCCTGCAGCTTGTTAACTTGAATAATAGTGGAAATTTTCTGAATTAGCTTAAAACGCACATAAAAGAAATAATTGTGTACCCCATCTATCTTCATGGGCCTTGCGAACCAGAGTGGTACCCTTCTCTTAAGCCCTCAACCTCCCCTTGTTTGCTATCATTTCACAGAGGCAAGGGATGAAGCATTCTTCAGACTTAGCCAAATCTGTAATTTAATCACTGAAGTTTTCTGTAGTTCATATTGGCCATAAATTAAGCCGGTAGGGATACCAGTGTGGATGCTCAGTGAGTCAAAGGCATTCAAATTCATAGGCCTGTGAAAGTAATGACCTCGGTGGCAGCAAGCTATCCGCTCACCTTAAAAGACAAACACATCCA